AAAAAAAAAAAAATGGCCCACCTTCCATTCGCTTCGTCTGCCCCCTTCACAGACGTTTCATGTCCTCCTCTCTCCTGTTCTCTCTATCTCCTTCTCTCCCCATTACTCTCACTCTCTCTCTCTCTCTCTCCGCACATATTCAGTGTGTGCACGTCAGGAGGAAGGGACGTGGAGCGTGCGAGGCCACCATCGCCGTGCACGGACCACCGCAGTGTGTCAAGGCCAATGCAACGTGCCACACGTGCGCTGCGGCTCGCGAGTGGCATCAACGCCGGCCGCCTGCGCCTTGCCGAGCAGTTCGCGGCGATGGACGGGTGGCAGGCGGGTGACGACACCGCCTTCGACGCGTACGTCAGCGAGAAGCGGCGAAAGGAGCGTTACGAGGCGTTCGACCAGCGCGTGGAGCGCGGCTACGCGGCAGCAGCGAAGCTCCACAGGGCGGAGCTTCAAAACGCGGTGAAACGCCGGCTGAAGGCGAGCGGCGCAAAGTTTACGGCCGCCACGCTGCGGGAGATGAACGGCGCTGTCGAGGAGCGCCTGTCGTGGCTTCGCGACGTGTGGACGCAGATCGATTCCGACTACCGCAGCAGTGATTCCGCACGGCAAGAGACGGCGGCGCGTGAGATATCTGCAGCACTTCGGGGCGAATCTAGCGACTACATGCAGTGGGTCTATGACATGAAGCGGGAGATGCGCTTTGCTGGGCCGGTGGGTCGCAGTGTGTTGCAGAGCGAGCTGCAGCACGCTGGGTTGCCGGAGGTCTCCGATGAGGAGGCGAATCGCTACCATGATCTGAAGCTCAACATGATGGAGATTGAGCGGCACGTGAAGGCAAAATACGGTGTGGCAGGCCAGCAACACTGGGCGGAGCTGCAGGCTGCAAAGGATGACGAGTACGTGAAGAAAATCGATGACGCCGCAGAGGTGTACAAGCAGCTGCTCGATCAGAGCGCACGGCTGGACGAATCGCGACGCACAGAGTTGCAGCGCAGCCACGTGGAACGCGTGCACCAGGCCCAGGTGCGTTTCAAGGCCGCCGTGGAGCTGGAGCATGAACGCGAGCGGCTCATGGAGGCGCACACCGCCATGAAGGAGGAACGCGCCCGCGCGGCGAAAGAAGAGCGACGCGCCCTCCTCCAGGAGGCCGCAGAGCTACGGGCGCAAGGCAAGACAAGTGCAGAGGTTATTGCCGCACTGAAGGAGCGTCAAATCGAGACGGACGCGAGGCGGCGGGCAGAATACGAGCTGAAGGAGCGTGAGGAAGTTCTGCAGCGCAAGACACGACTGTTGGATATGATCGACCAGTTCAAGCATGACGTGGAGGAGCGTGAGGGCCGGGAACTGCTGCAGCGCGAGCAGCACAAGGCGGAGCGGCCAGTAAACGCCTTTGGCTTCTATGATGACGACGCGATGGATGGAGCGGAACTCTCCGTCTGGAACGAGACGGAGAAACAGCTCTCGCCGCATGCAGAGCCCTCGACCGGATCCGCGATTAGTAGTAGTAGCAGCAGCACCAGAGACAGTCGTCCCGCGTCGCACCCGCAGAAGAAGGAGCTGTGGGAGTCGATTAACGCAGACACGTACGAGGACCCGTTCCTCACCGTCCACCAGGCCCGCCTCGACGCGGCGCAGACGTATGACCCAACGTATGCCCGCACCTTTCCCATGAACCTCGTGCTTGGCCGCAAGTACTCCAAACAAGGGGCGGGCGAGCTGGCGGCAGGCAATGAGACGGACCGCCACATTCTGCAGAAAGGCAATGCGGTGGCGAGGAGCTTTCAGTGGGGGATCGGAAACAACACCGTGCACGACCTCGACGCGGACGGTAGCACAGATTACTTCATGGATGGCGCCTACCACGTGCGCGACAAGACGACAGGTGACATTGACTGGCGTTACGAGAAGAAGAAGGGCGGACCTGTGTTCAAGGGGCCGAAGTTCTACCGGCTCGGGGCCAAACGTGAGGCGTCGGACCTCGGCGAGCAGCCGATGGACCCAACGCCGCACACCCCGACGCCACGCGAACACATGTGGCGCAGCAGCTAAGCTTGTATCTATTTCTTTATCTCTATGTCTCTCTCTCTCTTTCTGTGTGTGTGTGTGGGTGTGTTATCCTTCGTGTTCTGTGTGTCTTGAGGGGAATGGATAACAGCTCAGATGCAGAGATGTGCACGTTTGCACATCTGCGTACGCTGCGTGTATGCATGCACCATGCTTTCTTTGTGCCAGTGCTGGTTCTGGTTGCTTTGTTTTGCTGTATATTGTTATTTGTCTTGGTTCTTCTTCACCAAAGTAGTAGAGCATACAAGACACACACACACACACACACACACACACGGGCACGCACACACACAGCAGCGCTTGTCCCTTTTGTTTTCGCAATCGAATTGTGTTGAAATATAATATATACTTCGATAGTGTGTCGTGGCGTGTGTCCGTTGGGGTCTGTCTGCGTGTGTGTGGGTGTGTCTTGGGGGGCCTGTGCTTTGTTTTGTGGTTGCTTTGTTTTAATTAGATTCCGTCTACGTTCGGAGGCATTCCCGTAGGTATCCACTTTGAGGATCACATCGTATATAGCATGTTGACCAAGGTGCGTGACACCCCCGAGAAGGAAGAAACGGTGAGAACAGCATCACCAGAGAACGGTCATGGCCCGTGCGACCCACTTGATGTTGATCTCCCCATCAGTGCATCCCTCTTGAGCCGAAATCTTCTTCTGTTTACTGTGCTGAAGACAATTGGCTCGTTTGACTCCGGTGCCTTCAGTGCGGCACTCGGTGCAGAGAACGGCATAGCGGAGGAATGGGGTCTGAGCACTGTGCAACAGGGGACACTTAGCTCTAGTGTGTTCCTGGGCAACATCCTCGGATGTCCTCTGTCTGGAAATCTGTTCACACGATACAGCGCTAAGGCAGTGTTGGTGTGGTCCCTCGTTCTGCACACAGTCTTTACGTTCATTTTTGCAACGTTGACGGATTACACAGTCGCCTTATTCTGTCGTTTTCTCATTGGTATTACGCTATCGTTCGTAATCGTGTATACACCGGTGTGGGTGGATGCCTTTGCGCCGCGTGACCGTCAGTCAGTGTGGATGGCCTCTCACAATGCAGGAGTGCCGCTTGGCATCATGATTGGGTACTCCTTTGGTGCCTTTCTCCCGTCTTATACGAATATAAATTGGGAATGGGCATTCTACATCAAGTGCATCATCACTGTACCGGCTCTGGGGTACCTCATGCGGGTAGACAAGCGTTCCATTGATTGGCGCTGTACAGACAAGGAGGGTGTCACACCTGCTGTTACAGCGACAGCGCCACCAAGTCGACGCTCGGCCGAACGCATCTTTAACGTGCTTCATAGTAATATGCTATACCTCTGGCGCACATGTGCTCCTCTCATTCGCAATACAGAGTACATGTGCAGCGCGCTGGCTATGTGTTCCCTCTACTTTGTTGTGACAGGTCTGCAAAACTTTGTGACGCAGTATCTTCGTGCGGATCCGTTCAATGCATCCATGAAGACCATCATGATAGGGTTTGGTGGTGCGGTGGTGACCGCACCCGTCTTTGGTGTCATAACGGGTGGTGTTCTCCTTGATCGCATTGGCGGCTACCAGCGGAACCTGCGGCGAGTAACGATGTTTACCTGCGTATGGGGTGCAGCTGCCGCTTTTTTTAGCGTCATGTGCATCTTTGTCAGAGACACCATGACGTTTCTGTTCGTCATTTCAATTGTATTGTTTTGCGGTGGAGCCATCATTCCGCCGGTGAGTGGAACAGTGATGTCATCTGTCCCAGAGAAGCTCCGCCCCGCTGGAGCCGCCATCTCGCAAATGATGTACAATCTTTTAGGCAACTTCAGTGGCCCGATGGTGTGCGGCTTAGTGGCGGACTGGACGGGCGAATTGAAGTATGGCATCTACACTGTTCTCTGTTGTAGCGTGGTGGGTATGTTGCCGATGTTAGTGCTGCTGCGTAAGGCGTATAGCATGCCAGACCCCTTGGCGCAGTCGTCGCGCGAGCGCGTGTCGCGTCCGCATCATGCGGGCACGGCAGAAGATGTGGTGCTGGTGTCTGTGGATGCGGAGCTGAACGATGCGGGGGCGATGAAATCGGAGTCGCCACGCATAGCGCTGCAAGATGATGACATCCCACAGTACAACGGGAGTATCACCACTCCCAAAAACAGCAGCAACGGTGCACTGTTCACCACATTCCCAGCGTCCCCCTCACCACCGAATAGGATGCTGCTAACAGTGCCGTCCACGGCGCCAACTGACGCAGGAAGAACGGTATCAGCAGCAGCTCCAATAGTTATTCCGATGTCATCCGCTGCCGTAGTCGAGAGCGACCGCACGCCGCCATTGCCAGGATTCTTAAGTGCAGAGAACACAACGCCAAAGTCACCTGGTTTTCCTCAATGCATAGAGGATAGTCACAATAGGAACCGTTATTCGGCGCACGATTACGATGACAACAGCAATGATAGCGAGGACCCTCTGGATTTTGAATCGGATGCCGCACAAATGATGTCGTTCCCCAACCAGCACAACTTCGGGCTCGATATGTTGCGCTCATGGTTGAACAGCACATCTCGGCGGCGCAATTCATCTTTGCGGAGTAGTGCGAACGCGGTGCAATCGCTGCTAGAGGAGGTGTCGGAAATTGGCAACGTCGATACTCCGCAAGACGTTCACTTCAGCGGGAGTGAACTCAACGATGCCAGTGGCACCTTCGTGGCATTGCCACAGCCGCCGCCGCCGCCGCAGCAGCAGCAGCAGCAGCAGCAGGGCACCGAGAGACGGGAAGAAGGGCAATAATTCTCCGAGTAGTTTGATGGTGAGGTGGATGGGAGGGGCAAATTATGGAGAACATCGAATAAATAGTATGTGGTGGAATGCAGAGAGGATGTAAATGGGTCTAAATGTAAAGCGGCGAGTGGGAGAAGTGAGACATTTGCATGCGCAAATACATGCAGCGAGGAGCAGCAGTCGTTCCAATGGGCCTGCAGGCCACACCGCCGTCACCACGACGTCACAATGCAAGGTAACCGAAAAGACAGACAGAAAGCACGAACACACCGGCAAGGAAGAAGAAAAAAAAGAGAAAAACCTGTTGGCTGTCGCAGAGGAAAGACACTCCTGAGCTCACTCTATAACACAGACACACACACACACACACACACACACATGCAAATACAGGCAGGCAAATGCATATAACGTCGCTTCACCAGCCACATCTCCCGTGGCGGACTGGAGTGCTGCAGGAGGGATGGGGGGGTCGAAGGGTGCGTGCGTGCGTGCGGCGAGGCGGTGTGTGGGGGTGAAAAGGGTGGGCGAAGGGAGAAGTGCGACAGAAGGCGATGTGTGCAGAGCGGCTACAAAAGCAGTACGGGAGGGGCCCGCGTTGCCCGAGGGGAGGGTGTGTGGGGCGGGGGGTGGACGCGCACGTATCGTGCAGGGTCTTGCTTCCTTGGTTTTTGTTTTTGTTGTGTTTCCTTCTCTCTTTCGCTCTCTT